GCCGGTTGAGCTATAGGCGCCGAGCCTAATCTGCCATTTTTATGAAACAAGACAAGAAGAGAACACAGAAGGAGAGATACAACAGTGTTACATAGTTATCTCTTGGTGGTATAAGTGACTGATTTCTTATTTAAAAAACATTATAGAAAAAACATGTATTTTTCCCAATGGAAAAAAGTCAACACTCTGTCCTCCCTCATCAGCATGAAAACTTTTATTTTGTGACAGAAACAAAATACCAAAAAAGTCCAGGGGACTTCAAGGCACCAGCGAATCAGAGACTGGTTCTAAATGTCCTTCAATAAGCACTGTCCTTCCCACCAATGTGCTCTTACCTGGCATAAGAGTTTACTGCATAAACAGAACTGGACACAGTCATTCCTGGCATTTCCTTAGACATGGAAGCAATTTGCAGTTCAGCTGTCTCCTTCATAGGCACCTTCTCTTCTTGCTGTTTGCATTAAATCAGCAAAATCAATGTTCCCTTCATTCAGATAATGTTATCTATTTTCAGTCTCTAACGCCAACATTAGTTTCACCATACCCTTTCCCTAGACCACTAACCATATAAAATGGCTGTACTGGTTGGGCACAGTGGCTCATGGCTGTAATCCTAGTACTCTGGGAGGCTGAGGAGGGTGGATTGCTTGAGCTTAGGGGTTTGAGACCAGCCTGAGCAAGAGTGAGACCCCCTTCTCTACTAAAAAATAGAAAAATCAGCCAGCATGATGACAGGCCTCTACTTTCAGCTACTCAGGAGACTGAAGCAGAAGGAGTACCTGGACCCAGGAATTTGAAGTTGCTGTGAGCTAGGCTGAGGCCATGACACTCTAGCCCAAGCAACAGAGTAGTGCTCTCTCTCTCTCTCTCAAAAAAAAGGTTGTACCACAAAAGTCCTTTCCAATAATTTACCTTCCTAGCATAAACTGGTACTGTTGTACTTAACTCAGTAGTGCCAAACATATACCAAATTTCTTTAGTAAACTCCATTTTAATGGAACATATCTAGAACAAGAAGCTAAACTCAGAATTAACAAAATAATAAGTATAATTAAGAGGTCAATACATTGCATCACTTATTCACATGCCACAAATTTCACTTGAAGTCACTTATTAAATTATTTTCCTGCTCAACTTTCCTACAGCTAATAGTTAAGAAACTGCTTGTTTCTTAACCAGTTGGGATGACTTTAACCTTCCATACTTAGATATTGTTTAAATGTTTCAATGAGCATTAGTTTTATGTATGAAAAAGAAAAAATTACCTGATCACCTGCTCTTTCTTGCTGAGTAGTTTGGATTTCTTTTAGCTTCTTCTCCATCTCTTCAATCTGTTTCTGCATTTCTGCTCTCTTTTGGGCACTGGTCAATAGCTCAGCTAGAAATAGTAAAGTCACCAGAGACTTTTATTCCTCAAAGCAACTTGATTTCTATCAAAAACAGCCTTTGGAGTTCATGTCCTCAATATACATATGTTCCTAATACAGATAAAAATGACATAAGTGGAGTAGAGTCCTCAACTTGAAGTCTAAGCCTCTATTCTTTTATGTATTCAGTCAATAAAAAAAAAAAAAGAATACCTACTTTGTGCCAACCACAATTCTGAGTACTTAGGTTTCAGTGGTACATAAAGAAAATAAAATAGGTGATGTGAAATGTGCAATGGGGTAGGAGGATGAAGGTCAAGGGCAATTTAAGATTAGTAATAAGACAAGATCATTCTGATAAAGTAACATTATAAACTGTAATTTTAGTAACAAGGGGCCAATCTGGGTCAATCCTACATAAAGTTCTGGGAAAAGATTCTAGGCTAATGAAATAGCTGGCACAAAGGCCCTAATGGAGGAGCAGGACCACTGTGTTAAAGGATCCAAAAGAAGGCCAGTGTGGCTGCAGTACAATAAGAGGGATAACAGAAAGAGATGGGGATGGAGAGATAGGAGAAGTCATGTGGGGTTTTCTTCATTTTTTTTTTTTCCGGAGATGTGGTCTTGCCATGCTGCCCAGGCTGGTTTGGAACTCCTGGGCTTAAGCAATCCTTCTACCTCAGGATTCCAAGTAGCTGGGACTACAGGTGTGTACCATAGCGCCTGGCCATGTGGGATTCTGAAAGTTAAAGAGTTTGTATTGTATTCTATGACAATGAAAAAAAAACAATGGGAAATTTTAAGTAAAGGAATAACATGATCTGACTTTTTGAAAAGATCCTTTACTATAAACGCAATGGATGGTGGTGGGGTGAGAATGAGACAGCCCAGCTGTAGCAGTTCAGCCAATGACTATGGTTTGGATTAAGGTGATAGTAGGCCTCTCAGTCCATTGGGCTTGCTATAATAAAATGCCATAGTGAGATGCCTTATAAAAAACTGAAATTTAAACCCAAAAACCCAATAATAATAAAGGGGGTGGAAGAAACTTTGGGAGGTAATGTGTATGTCAATGGCCTACACATAGTGAAAGTATCAATAGTGATACTTTCATGGGTGTATACTTTATCCCTACCCTCATTGAGATAGGAACATTAACTCTGTACAGATTTTTAGGTCAATTATTCCTTTAAAATGTGGTTTGAAACAAAAACAATACCCTGAAATTTATTTCTCACAGTTCTGGAAGCTAGGAAGTCTAAGATCAAGGTGCTAGTGGAGTCAGTGTCCGGTAACAGCCTGCTTTCTGGCTCATACGTGGCACCTCACTGTGTCCTCACATGATGATAGGGTTGAGGAGCCTAAGGATTATTTTATAAGGGCATTAATCCCATTTGTGAGGTACCCACAACCATGACCTAATTGCCTCCTAATACTACGACTTTGGGAGTTAGGATTTCAATATATGAAATAGTGAGAGTGGAGATAAAGATTTGGGCAATATTGTGGTGGCAGAGTTGATAGGTGTATTTATTAGATCTGGGGAAATGGTAAGGAAAGAAGGATATCAAAGATAACCTAGATGTTTTTTGTCTTGAACAAATGACTACATGGTGATGCCTTTTACTGAGATGAGGAAGGCTGAGAATGGTGTGTGGTAATTTGATTTTTTTTTTTTTTTGAGACAGAGTCTCAATATATTGCTCTTGGTAGAGTGCTATGGCGTCACAGCTCATGGCAACCTCAAACTCTTGGTCTTAAACGATTCTCTTGCCTCAGCCTCCCAAGTAGCTGGGACTATAGGCGCCCGCCACAACGCCTGGCTATTTTTTTGTTGCAGTTGTCATTGTTGTTTAGCTGGCTCAGGCTGGGTTCGAACCTACCAGCCTGGGTGTGTGTACCGACTGAGTTATAGGTGCCAAGAAAGTATGTGGTAATTTGAAATCAGGAATTCTGTACTGGCTATGTTGAGTTTAACTGCAGTAAATATAAGTCTGGAAGTCTGGTGAAACGTCAGGAATGGGGATATAAATTTGAGTCTGTGGTTTGTAAACCGTATTTATTCTACTACCCAGAGATAGTTGTAGAAAGAGTTAGATAATTAGGATTATTCCAGGAATCTGTTCTAGTCCTCAGGAAGAGATCCTGCATGAGAAGAACAGTAGCAAATAACATTGAGGGAGAATACCCCAAAAAGAAGAAGCCAAGAGAAGCATTTTTTTTTTTTTTGAGACAGAGCCTCAAGCCATCCCCCTGGGTAGAGTGCTGTGGCATCACAGCTCACAGCAACCTCCAACTCCTGGGTTCAAGCGATCCTCCTGCCTCAGCCTCCCAAGTAGCTGGGACAACAGGCACCCACCACAACGCCCAGCTATTTTTTGGTTGCAGCCGTCATTGTTGTTTTTGGCGGGCCCGGGCTGGATTTGAACCTGCCACCTTAGGTGTATGTGGCTGGCACCTTAGCCATTTGAGCCACAGGCGCCGAGCCAAGAGAAGCATTTCTTAAAGAAGCAATTCAACAATTGTGCCAAATGAAGATCAGTACAAAGAAATAGTCACTGTATTCAGCAAAAATGTTTCTGGTGACCATGACCACAGCCTTTTCACTGGAATAAAATGAGTGCTTCAGGAAATAATCAGCTGTAAAGACAAGACTGATTACAATTCTCAAGAAATTTTGCTGTGATGGGAAGTACAAAAATGGGCTAATGACTGGAGAAGAATGTGAGGATAATGGAGGACTTTTTAAAAATGGCAATGGGCGGCAGCGCCATGTCCGGCCACGAAGGTGGCAAGAAAAAGCCCCTGACACAGCCTAAGAAGCAGACCAAGGAGATGGATGAGGAAGATAAGGCGTTCCAACAGAAACAAAAAGAGGAGCAAAAGAAACTCGAGGAACTAAAAGCAAAGGCCGCAGGGAAGGGTCCCCTTGCCACAGGTGGAATTAAGAAATCTGGCAAAAAGTAAGCTGTTCCTTGTGCCTGAGATGATGACGATTGATTCCTATTTAAACATCTGTATTCCCTGTCATAACATCTTTTGCCACCTATAGCTAAAATGAAGTGTTGTCTTAGAACCTATTGTACATTTAAGAATAAACTTTTGTAAAAAAAGAAAAAAAAATTAAAAATGGCAATGTATTTGTATGATGATAATAGTTTAGTACAAAAGGCAAAATGCTTAAGGTGAGTGGGTAGAAAACCACCCCCTTTGTAAAGGGCAAATCCTTGAGGTATGAGGGAATGAGCTCTAAAACCCAAATGGACAATGAACAGAGACATTTTTAAGAATTTTAACAGAAGAATATAAGGTAGAGTAAATGGTATGAATTATAGATAATAAGATTATAGATCTGGAGTTACCATTAGGTTACTTCTATTTTCCCAACGAAGTATGAAGCAAAATTACAGCTGAGCAGGTGCAGGGTTGTAGAAAATGTGAAAGTATAAAAAAAATTAAATTAGTTGCTTAGCAGAAAGAAGAAATCCATCTACCAGGGTGTAGTAAGATGGCTAGGCACTGGTGAATGCCCATTTGAGGTTTATGATCATAAATTTAAAGTGAGAGCAGTATACACAACTGAATTTTTCTCCAAATATATGTAAACAGCCTAGATTCAGGTTCAGAATATAAGCAAATAGGTGAATTTAATCAGGGTGGAGAATTTGTTAGGTGAATACAAAGACAGGCAGATAAAGGAGTTAAAGGTATTTACAGGGGGTGATTAAAATGACTGGTATGACTCTAAGCTGGGAAGAAAGGAAGTCAGGATATAAAAATGGTAATGAACAATAAAATAATAAAAGTGCTAGGGATGAATTAGGGATCTTGAAGAAACCAAAGAATTCCAGGAGTGGAATCCTAAAGTGAGCTAAAGGAGAAGATGGTGGTCAAAGAACAGGATCTTCAAAATAGAGATTTCTGCAGTAGTATGGTTATGTGGTAATAAAGTCCAGGTCCACAGTAAGACCGTGGAGGAAGTGTGGCAATTAAGGAATTGGAAAGCCATGGTACTAGGTGATATGGGGGTGGAAAGTCAGATTCTCAGGTGCTCAGTTAATTTCTGAAGCCAGGTTTCAATAGTAACAAGAACCCACATTTATAGCAATAAAGATTTAAAAGGTACAAACTAAACACAGATGGGAAATTTTAAGTTCATGAGACAGATTCAGAGATTAGCTTAGGAAATGAGTATTTAAAAATCCTCAGGGTGGGTGGCACCTCTGGCTCAGTGAGTAGGGTGTCAGCCCCATATACTGAGGGTGGTGGGATTGAACCCTGCTCCAGCCAAACTGCAACAACAACAACAATATATATATACACACACATACATAGAGAGAGTGCATGCACCCACTGGGTACTATGGTAGGTGCCTGTAGTCTCAGCTACTCAGGAGGCTGAGGCAAAAGAATCGCCTAAGCCCAAGAGCTGGAGGTTGCTGTGAGCTGTGATGTCACAGCACTCTACCAAGAGTGACAAAGTGAGACTCTGTCTCTAAAAAAAATAATAATAAAAATCCTCAAGGGTCAATATTTCCTTTTACCTACCCAAATCCCACTTAACCCTACTATAGGTTCTTCTCAGACTAACTGAATGAACTTTAATCTTATTTTTGGCTCGGTGCCTATGGCTCAAGTGGCTAAGGTGTCAACCACATAGACCAAAGGTGCAGGTTCAAATCCAGCCCGGGCCCACCAAACAACAATGACAGCTACAACCAAAAAATAGCCGGGCATTGTGGCAGTGCACCTGTGGTCCCAGCTACTTGGGAGGCTGAGGCAGGAGACTTGCTTGAGCCCAGGAGTTGGAGGTTGCTGTGAGCTGTGATCCCACAGCACTCTACCCAGGGGGACAGCTTGAGGCTCTGTCTCAAAAACAAAAACAAAAACAAAAAAATCTTATTTCTATATACCTGAGATAGGCTAGGTTTTTCCCTTATCAAACAGTTTTTATCAAGATACCTAATGCTTTTCCAGTTTGTATTTGGTTACTCTCCTCACCTATTTCTTTGTTGTGGTGGTTCCCATTTTCTAAAAGCGTTATTCAACTAGCACTTTGCTTTGCAAATCATCCTTCTCTCTCACCTAGACACATACATTTCAATGTATTATTTGAACCCAGAACACTCTCATCAGTCTTGGAAAGCACATGTAAAACATGAAGGCAAGGCCAAACTCCAAACTAACAGTCTGCTTTACAGAAGTTTGCTTCTATCTTGTCACCTGGAACTGAGAAAAGATTGTTCCTCAAATTGTAAGTGATGCTTAAATTTCCCAGCTAACCCCATTAATGTCACATCCTTTTATGAGAGCTATTCAGCCCATTCTGCCCTACCTCTAGCCTCCAGAATAAGAGTGCTTCCCATTTCTCCAAAATTCCTTGTATCTCAAATTTTAATAAATCATTTTATTTAGAAAGAAAATAGTATCTTTAAGAAACAATACAAATATCACCTTAGTGACTTAGGTGTGACCAAGTATGTTAATCTAAATAAGCCCTTGGAGAAATTTCAGGCAGACTATCAAAGGTAAAGTGACACTTTAGGCAACACTAAGAAAAGTACTTTGTGGAGGACATGGGATGCATATGCACATCAGGGATCACAGCTATCTGCTTACTGAGCTGGGAAACATGAGTATTCATACAGTTCGGACCTTCTTTTTCTTCTTTACTTCTGAACACAGATTCAATTCCTCCTACCCACAGGAGTTTTCATGGAAGGCAATAATGGGACTTCAGCTTATATAGAGAGAGAAACAGTAACCCATAGAAACACCCCATAAAGGTACAAATTAATGAAGGCGATCTTCCACAGACTTAATATATCAGCCCAACCTTCTTACAATTAAGTCACTTTCATAAACTTGAATTAGATCAATACACATACCTTCCCTTTGCTCTTTTAATTTCTTCCGGAAAACTTCAGCCCGGATTTCTTCAAAGGAGAATTCCCCTACTCCTGCATAAATCTTCTCCTTGCAATACATCACCTTCTCTTTCTTCTCTTCAGACGCTTGCTGATGGCTTTGAACCCTCTGCAGAGGATCCCCTTCTTCCTTTCCAGGCTTTCTGGTGCTTAGAACATGGTTTATACTAGGTTCAATTTTGCATGGTGTCCTAGGAAGCCAAGTAATTATTATTTACCACACAGATCCAAACAAAAAATAAGATTGAGAAAAAGACTAAAATAACTTACAAGAGTCATCAATAATTGTGTTTTAAATACTACTTCTGCTGTGATGAGGAAGGAAATGGGATCATAAAGTAGTTTGTATTATTTATAGGTGAAAAGAAATCTTAATTAAACCCAATATCTGTAAGGAAATTAACCTACACAACATAGTTCATTTTTCACTGTTCAGCATCCAAAGAAATTAGAGTTAGGAATATAGCATTAGGGACCTAACCTGATGATGTGAAGCTTACGGTTCTCAGCTGAAGGGGAAGAATGAGAACAGTAGTATATTTTAAAATTCAGAAAGCATAAGATACCTCAATCATGTTGTTTTCAACCCTGGCTATGGATTAGAATCACTATTATACCTTTTATTTTCTTATTTGCCTTAGTACCATTAAAGACACCTGGTCCTTCCCAGATCCACTGACTCAGAATGTGTTATGCGAGGGTAGAGGCATCTACATGCTTCAAAAGTGTTCCCAACTTGCGCAATCTGGTAAAAACACCTCTATGAGAAGCCTACACTAGTACCACACTTTACCAGGAAAGTCTGGATGCTTTCCCCCTAAGATCAGGAACAAGACTAAGATGTCCATTCTTGCCACTTCTATTCAATGTTGTACTAGAAATTCTAGCCAGGGCAATTATGCAAGAGAAAAAACAAAAGGAGTCCAGATGGGCAAGTAAAAACTAGAGCTATCTCTATTTGCAGAAAATATGATCTTATACATAGAAAACCATATGAATCCATTAAAAAACTGTAGATAATAAATGTCAGAGGATACAATAAACAAAAATCACTTGTATTTTATACACCTACAATGAACAATCTGAGAATGAAATCAAGAAAACAATACTATTAAATATTTTCAATAGCTTCATACAGAACAAAATACTTCAGGATAGGGTGGCACCTGTGGCTCATTGAGTAGGGCACTGGCCTCATATACCGAGGGTGGCAGGTTCAAACCGAGCCCCAGCCAAACTACAACAAAAAAATAGCTAGGTGTTGTGACGGGTGCCTGTAGTCCCAGCTACTTGGGAGGCTGAGGCAAGAGAATTGCCTAAGCCCAAGAGCT